TCCTGAACTGCTAGGACTTCTTTTTTTTTTTTTTTCCCAGTTTTTGGCGGTTGGGGTGAGCACCTTGTAAGTTTCTGCTCACTGCGTAAAAGTGTTCCCTGGAGGGGGAAAAAATCAAAACATTTCTTATCTGTAAAACTGCAATGTTCAGGTAGACTGAAGCCTAATGCAAAGAATGTGGAAATGTATTTTTCTACATCTAACAGGATGTGTGGTGGTTGTTTTCTGCAGGTATGGAGCGCTTTGTTGAAGGAAATGCCTCTCCATTCGGTGGTAAAGATGTTAGGTAGGCTGACATCTGGCAAAGTTCTTGAACCGGGAAGCTCAGAAACACAGTTTTTATGTGACAGAATTCAAAGTGAGACGGCACTAAAACAGGTAAGGCTCACAACTTCTACCAGAAATGTTATTTTGTTTTAAATTATGCAGAGGTCAATATTTAGGAATTAAATGTCTCCTAAAATCACCAGGCAAAGATCCACCCTTTCAGTATACTTTTGGCTACAGAAAACTACAAAAAAGGCCATGGCTATCAGGGTAAACCGAAATGGGAAGCAGACCGCAACATCCTTAAAGCTATGGACTCTGCCTTTTACAAGAGCTTTATGGTATGTTGTTGTAATTTTCAAAACTTTCTCCAGTTGTTGCAGAAGATGTCAGCAGCAGTTCTTTAACGTGAATGTCCTGTTCTGCTGTAACTCTGTCCTCAGAATGTGGAGCCTGTGGGTAAATGCTTTGTTGTGGCAGTAGATATGAGCGGGTCACCGAGCAGCATTGTCCCAGGAACGTCGATCAGCACTGCTGCTGCTGCAGCCGCTATTGCCATGGTAAGACTGTACTACAGCCAGATGATGCTATCTGGTTAGTTGGAACAGCTGCATCTTCAAACAGGGCTCAGGCTGCCCCATCTTTAGAGAGATCCTGGGTGATGGCGTGGGACTGTTGACACATACTGTGAATTCCCTGAAAATGCCTTTCTCAGTATGTTAGCGCATAGGCCCTAACAGTGTTGTACTGTGTGTGAATGTGCATGCAGGATAAAGGCATTTTAGTCAGGGTAACTAAATGGCTTTCTTTTGACCTTGGCTTTGACACAGATTTTTGCAAGGACGGAGGCTGACACACATGTGCTTGTCTACTCTGAAGAGGCTATGGTACCATTCTCTATTTCTGCTGATATGACTCTCAAAGAAGCAACTGATGAACTGGTTAAGGTAAGGCTTTACAGAACATTAAAGGTGACGAGATAATACGAGCGACTGAACAGTTCCTTTCAGGAATATACAATACAATATTTGTTGCAGACGAGCAACTAGAGGCATTTTTTTTTCTTCTTCTTCTTCCACCTTCACATCAAATTACTGCAAAGCAGTGCTGGTTAGCTCAACTACCACCTGTTTATTGTCTTCTCACATAGAGCACGAGAGAAAGGGGTGCACAGCCATCAGGTAGTGCCTTTATGTTGCAGTTCCAGAGTGAGAGCAGAGACTGCACCGTTCCCATTCAATGGGCCACGGAGAACAGGAAAGCTGTAGATGTGTTCGTCACTTTGAGCAACAACCCACTGTGGACGCTTACTGCCAGCCTGGTGGAGTCTCTGAAGAAGCACAGAGAAGTATGTTTGTTTTTTCACATCTGGGGTTGAATTAAATAATGGCCTTGTGTGGTAAAGATTGTTTTTGAACATATACAAGCAAAGATTAACGGGATGGGGTTGTTGTGCTATTGTTATTCACATTGTTCCATAGATGGCTGATAGGGCACAGTTAATTTTACAGCATTATAAGTTCTCCTTTAAACTCCTTTAGCTAAAAGGTTACTTAAAATATGTACTAAGTGACGATGACAAATGTAACATTTTTACAATAAACATGGTTTGTGTATATTCTCAACAGACATCAGGAGCTAATTCGAAGCTGGTGATGTGTAACCTGACTAACATTGGAATTGCCATCCCAGACACAGAAGACCGGGGTTTGCTGACCATCTCTGGCTTCGACCTTGGAGCTTTTAGTGTCATTCGTAATTTGGCCCAAGATCTGATCTGATAAGATTTCTGGGACTTTTCTTGAGAAATGTAATGAATGTAATGTAATGAAGGCAAAGAGTGGACCAATGAGGCTCATTTAGCATGTAGAGTGTCCCAAAACAGCACTAATCCAAAAGATGCTGACAATTTCAATTCCAGTTT